CCTAAAACACCATGACCATGAGTTCACAGACACCACAATGGAGTTTACAGCCATAAACTCCATGTGGGACGTAAACTCACCCTATATGATCAAGTGTAGGCCATTTGTTTCACTCCTTTCCTTTCCTTGGCTGATTCTCTTTCAAATCCTCACAACTATCATCCACATTCCATCCTTAGATCTTCAAAACTAGTAAGTATTCTTCCTTAACTTGTTGATACAACTCTTAACCTAGCATTCTCTCATGATTCCATCCATGAAAATCATGTTTTCATAGATCATCAAGTTTCACCAAGAACACCAAGAACACACACTAATGTTCTTGGCCAAAACCGACCAGTTCAAGCTCGTATATCGTAAGCACTCTTGTTCTAACTTGTTGTACACTAGATTAAACATGTTTAGGCCTTAGAATCATCATGAATTAAGGGTTGGATGAGATTTTACAACCAAAGATCTCCCAAGGCCGTAAATTCCCTTTAAGTCTGCAATGATGCCCTCTTTTCCTTCCTAATGACTAGAACTTAGCCTATAACCAATCACCATTGAACTAGGGACCTTAAACATCAAAAATACCATGAATACATAGAGTTTACGGCCATAAACCCATGAGGAATGGTCCATGGGCTGTAAACTCTATAAAGGAGTAAGATAGTGCCACCATGACTTCCTAAGGCTTAGACTTGAAGTAAGGATGCTTCTTTATGACTTATAAGGCCTCAATACACAAAATGGTACTTAATACCATGAGTTTACGACCGTAAACTCATGGGGAAATGACCATGGGCTGTAAATTCATGAGTTGTTACCATTTGGACCATAAACTCCTTTGAGAAGCCCTACACTCCTTAGATGCAACCCTAATGAACTCCTAACACTTGAACCAAAGTGTTTACCATGTTTTAGGGTGTTTATACTTGTCTAATTAGTGTTATAATCACTAATTGTATACATACATACATACATACATATATATATACATATATATATATATATATATATGTGTGTGTGTGTGTGTGTGTGTCTTTATATGTTATTAGGATCATTGTGTGTGTTCAAGTCTTCACTTGGCACCTAGCACTTGTCTGACACTTCCATATGATCCACTCACTACAGGTGAGTTCATACCCCTTTATTAACCTTTTAAATGTTTTTAAATGCTTTTATGGGGGGGGGATACAAGTTGAATCATGATAGTTATTATATCAATCACATGTGATTAATAACTATAAAACTATAGATTTACTACACTTTTAACTGTTTTACTCAGTATACTACTTCAAAATGATTTCTCAAAACATCTTTACATACTAAAATCTTTATCAAACTGTATTACATACTATATATTTCCTTTCAAAATCTGTTACAATTGTATTCTCAGGTCACCAATAGACAGGTACGACGACCAGGTTGTGTGAAGACGGAGCAGTCAAGACTCGTCTTTTATTTTGATTATTCATTATGTTGTTTTATTCTATGAAAGAACACACTTGTAATTAAAATTATACTATTAATGCAATGGATGATGTTGTTGCTTGTTTACTACTTTGCATTGTTGTGATACTTTACATGACGTCCTCCGTCCCAGAACGTTTCCGCCATTCTTGGTTTTGGGGTGTGACAATTAGTGGTTTTACCCAACCACAATCCCAAATTATCATTTTAATCTCGTCCTTAGTAAACGGGACTTGAAAAAAATTGAATCAAATCACCCGAGGAATGTCAAAAAGAACAAGGTATGATAGCTGGATGCCAACCATGTTGCCTAGCGAACAACGACTAAAAAAACTTCTTGAATCTTACTTCATGAAACCTAGATCATCTACCCACACCCCATTAATTACGACCCCTCTAATAACAAGTTAGCAGTGTTTGCGCTTATTACTACCATGGAAAAAATTGGAATTGTCATCCACTCAAATCCTTGATGGCTCTTACCCTAGTGTCCTTAATATCTAACGAACCATCTGATTCCATAAGAATAGAGCCATAATCATCAATCTGCTCTTGCAATCACTCGCTATGTGTCACCACCTTCTGTGGTTTCTTTAACTTCCACATCCTTATGATACTTTTAAGAATTAGTAACTTCTTTTAAGATACCACTAAATGATTTCCACCCTTATTCATTCTATGTACCCAAGAATCATGTGAAACCGATTCATAATCACCCATCACAACTAGGAAAGAAAAAGGAAAAGGGGGTGTGGCCATAATTAACCATGTACTCAACCAAAAGAATTAAATGCTGATTTGGTAACTTTTTATCCAAAGCCATACAAAACAGATAGAGGAAAACTCCATACATGCCATTAGAAATCAAGAAACAATCTAAATTGATAAACTTTGAACCCTGCATATCACACCAAATAAAATAAGGACCTCCTAATGAAACATCAAGAAGATCTGAATTAGTAATGTACTAATTAAATGTCGTAGTTGACCCTGGATGAAACTGAGATCCCAATCTCATTGACTCATCATGAACCTCATTAAAGTTATCCATCAACACAACTTCATCCCTAGCAAAGCCATAAACTTAAGAATAGACCTACATAGTTGTCGTTTGCCCCATTGATCTTGTGGCAGTAAACCATGATGATTAAGATATGTAAGGAATACATATACGAAAACTCTATTCCCTTAAAAAACATTTGGATCCCAAATAGCCAAGATACCACCAGAAAGACCTTGAGAAAGAGAATTTGTAAAAAAGAAAAGAGGAGTTCCCTTAAAACAATATCATTGTGCATAAGTAAATACATTTCATCTATGTCTCCTGAATCTACATAAAATTCACCGTTTGTTTCCTACATAAATATATAATCCAATATTGTTTATCATTTTTACCCACTCCTTGAATATTAATGGATAGACAATTCATCAATTAATATCTGCTGCATCTATCCTATCAATAAAATCACATGTATATTATTGGCCCCCTTTCCATCATGTACCAAAAAATATATCTCATTTCCATTTTTGTACATTACTTTATCATCAAGCCTAAATGAATATTTCTCATGGAATGACTCCTATTTCCCACAAAAGGCAAAGCAAATTTTAGAGTAAAACCTCGAGGTTGAGAAAGAAAATCCTAGCACCCAACCCCCCATCCTCTATCACTTCACCAATACTCACCAAAATATAAGATAATGGAGGTCAAGAAGTCATCGAGAATGGCATTTTTTTAGCTGGCGTTGAAGGCTACATTAACATGGTAGCATGTGCATTCGCTGAATATCCAGCTGAAAAAAAGACTATGATGTGTGTTATAATCAAGAAATGAATACGTAATCAATCAACGAAAACAGATAGAACACATCGAGTAAGTAAGATCTGTTTGGCTTATATTTCATCTATAAAGAGTACAAGAGTTTGAGAGTGTTTTACAAACTTAAGAACAAAAAATTTACTATCGACTCTAATACTTACCCTATTTATGGGGTGTTATAGACAAACAAAACTACAAGGAATAAACATTCTAGTATGAATTCCACATGTACCTAGTAAATACATATTATTTCGAACCCCTACAAAATACAAAGTATTTCCACCTCTCACTATCTACATTTCGACCCCTAAAATCTCCCCCTTAGTGAGAGTAGTCGAAATGATGCCATAAGCTTCAACATTTGTAGAAGTACATTGCAAAATTCCATATACCAAAGAATTTTCTTTCGAATAGCTGACTTGTCTTCATCTTCATTTCTCTTGCAGTTGTTGACAGGAACAGGGAGATTGGTATATTGAAAATTTGTATAACTCTCTAAATCACTGACTTGAAACAAGAATTTTGTCAAATTTACGTTCTTGTTCTTCCCTTGCAATAAAACCCCAAAAGGTTTATGTATAGTCTATCCATCTTCATATTTGTCAATGCTAATCTTCCTCTTTAACAGATATTGAGGAACATTCGAAGGCTTTTTAACAATTATAGCAACATAATATCTATAATTACAAGGAAATCGTAATAGTTGTCACTAAATACATTGATACGACAAAAACCAATAAGAAAGTCATCCATGCTGACTTCTATCCGCTTCAAAACATAAACGTTATTTAAAATCCTTGTCGCAGTTTTCCAACTCATTTATGTTCATTAATGGGCAATCACCAATTGAAAATTCATAAACTACATTTTTTCGCTCTAACAACCACATCGTAGAAATTTTGTAGAATGCCTCCAAATAAGTTTTCTCAAGTAATTGTCATCGCATTGACAATCTTCACTAAAGACCAAACTTATTATTCATTTTTACCCAAGACAACATGAAATCACATCTCCAGTCTTTCGAATTCTTCTTTATCCTCTAACTTTTCAACGATTTCAAATTGGGATGAAGTTAACAACATGTGATTCAATGGGAAGTGAAGCTGATTAAAGTCATCGTTTTTAACATCATAACTCTTCTTTGGTACTTTGCAAAAATAATCATTTAGCCTAATTGAAACAGTATCTTCAATTGTTTCATAACACCACTGCTTGTTGGGATCACCCTTATTCAAGCCAGGTGGGACAATTTGTCTTTGCCTCATTATGTTGTTTATTTGCCTTTAATTTTCTATCTCCAGAGCATGTTGCTTTATTTCTCTTCTTTTGAAAGAATCAATAAGATAGCTTTCCCTTTATCACCTTGACCATTTTTAAAAGATGGTGGCATAGAACTCGAACTTTAACCTCCAACTCCTTCGTTTATAATGATCCCTTTTGTGATTGGTCGTGTTTTTTTTGTTGTTATTGAATTTGTGGTTAGTGAAATAAGATGTGAAGTTAGTATTTCAGTCAAAATCACTTTTCCAAAAACAACTCCTTTTTCATAATCCCTCAAAGACCCAACACCTCCATATCCTTTATCTCCCCCTTGTGAAAGTTGCCTAGCAGTTGGAGCATATGTTGGTAATCGAAGAACCAAATCAAGCATGGGAGCTAGATTTTCTTTGATATTTGTCTCAATGGACAAACTCAATTACGAAATTGATTCTTGAGAAGCAGAGGACTAATTCAAAAGATCAAATTTTGAAATGGATTCCTTGATACTGGTTAAGAACACTTCTAGCTTTACAATCACTCTGTAATCCTTCTCCGATTTTTCTTCAAGCTTGGTTGAATAGTCAGTATTGAATTCAACCAAATTTATGATTGTAGTTGCAACAAAATTAACTTTGCTATCCAACAATGTATAATTCTTCTTCTTATTTTCCACCTCTTTAGCCATCTCAGACTTTAGTTCAGCTACCATAAGATCAATAGTATCTTTGATCTTCTTCACTTGTTCCATAAAAAGATCATGACGCTCCTTGGTAACATCACGAAGCTTTTGAATTTTGAACTCAAAGCTTTTGGAATGAACATTCAACTGTTCAACTAGTTTCAGTTCAATGCTTTCAACCAAACTTCAAAGACGATTCTCCTGAGACTTCAATAAGTACTCCATCTCTACCGAGTAACGAAACTCCTTACCTTAGAATCAGCTTGAAATTACAGAAGAGAAGTGATTTTGTTAATGAGGATTTTGATTTGTTTACTTGACATGATCATGTTGTCAACTACATTATCCTCTTCTGGGTTGAATTGCAAATCAACAAAAGAAACCATGATCTCATCATGATTTGTTTCATCTTCCTAAACCACTCTCTCAACTACAATAGATTGAGAGAAAAATAGGGTAGTAAAGGGTTCATGTATAATCGTAGATTATGTTGCTGAAATTTTTGAAACTGGTAGTGAAAATGGGATGGGTGATGAAAGTGGTGGTAAGGAAGTGAATGTTTCGAATAAAGGAGTTCCAATGCTAGATGAGAATACGGTTGAAGTGAGAATGGTTAATGTGATAAGGTTCGAAATAACATGGGCTTCTTTGTTATGCATCCTTTCACCCATATTGACATTTTTTCCTTTATCAGATAAGTCCACATGGATGTTTGGAGTTTGAACCTCCTTCGTATAGGTGTACATGCAACCCTAAATACCTTGTGAAGCCCCACGTGGTATGTGAAGGGTTTTGAGCATTATAACACTCCTAAGGTGTGCATGCAACCCTAAATACCTTGGATATATGTTTTCTCTGTTATACATGCAAACATGAACTTTCTAAGGTATTACCCTAGCTAGCATACACAACTTTGATACTTGGTGGCTAAAACAGGTTAAATGACATACCTTTTGTTGTAGTTGGAAGCCTTGGATCTTTAAGAACTTTGTGCCCCAAGTTTTTCACCTCAAATAGAATCACACAACACCACTAACAATGGAGGAACTTGAGAGGAGGTCACTTGCACTCATAAAATTGGCTTGCCCTCTTGTGTTTCCACTAGTGCCTCCTTAGTACCACTTAAGTGCCAATTTCATGAGCTAGAGGGGTTCTTATATAGTGTGGCAAACTAGGGTTACATCATGTAAACCCTAATGACTTTCCATATCCCTCATGCTCCATGGGTTAAAACCTCCATGGAGTATCCATGGGTTACCACATGGGTTTAGCCCAACGTGAAGAACTATGGATCATAAGCCCACTTTATAATAATGAATGATTTACCAAATCAACCCTATATATCTAATTAGTCTCTTTTGATCACAAAATTCATTCCAAATTAATTCTTGATCAATACTAATTAAATAATATGATTTCATATTAATATATTAGAACTTATAATGTATTAATAAACCATAAATAACCTCTTCTCAATTATCCATTTTTCAGATTGTTTCGGTGTCATGCAACCTAAATGAACCATGCTACTCTCGGGTCAAGTACATACCAACTATATTTATGGGATTACACACTAATCCAAAAGTATGACCATAGTCTTCTCAGGGATGGATATTGATGTTTGAGCATTCAAATTTGTGTTTGTTTCTATATTATATGCATTTACAGTGACACCAGTATTTCATGTCTCCTCGAGAATCGACTTGAGAGTAGAATCCCTTTAAGGTGACCCAAGTCGAGAATCGTCATGTCGATTATCCCCACTATCACTATCATTATTTTTTCGACAGTGACTTGATCAAGTAGATCTTGATGCGCTCTCTGCTTTTGTTGTAATTTCGTAGCCATATCGAATGATTTTCGTTTTGGCGAAGTTCGTGAGAAAGGAACAGGAACTTGTCTAAACAATACACCTCTTCGATTGAATTGAGGCTTTATAATATTCTCTAAGCCCTTCTGATATGAATGAGTGTGCAAAGAATCAACCTGCGTTTGCTTAGTTGTCTCAATTTCAGGTTCTTGAATAGTTGGCATGACTGAAGAATCACGAGGCCTTTTGGTTGGCTTCTTGGTACATTTGAGTATACTAGTTTTTGAAGGAATAATTTCTATAGAAAATTCCCCTACCATAGGATGTGGTTTCACAGTTTGCTTCTACTTCTTTGGTAGTTTAACAACTTTTGAAGAGCCCTCAGCCCATTTCGATAGAAGCACACTGATCGAAATAGTAGAATCAATGGAGGCTAAATATTGAACAAAGAGTGGATTTTTTAAATCAACATGTCTTAGCATCACATCTGGAACACAAGAAACATTATGAAAGATTTTTGGATCATCAACTATAACTCTTGGAGCAGAAATTGTCAAAAATTCAGCCGTTTCGACACCAGAAGGAACCAAAATCCCTTACTTTTGATAAAACTCTTTGAGAATCAACTGAAGTATCAAGCATATGAAACACCATTCATCAAATTGGTGTGAGTAGTAGCTGTGCCAAATTCTTCCATGAGAAATGTGGTATAATCCACTTCAAGACCATAGTAAATCCCAACAAGAATGGAATTCCAATTCGGATTTATCTAATCTAGAACTTCAGCATGTAAAGCATCTTAAGACTATTCCAAATAGAAAACTCCATACACAGGGTAAACCCCACTTTTTAAAATGACTGGTTCTAGTCATAAAAGGTTGATGCCCTATCTCGTTGAACATGTGAAGAACTTGTTCATTAGTAACCTCATAAAAAGTACCTGAGACAGGAAGCTTCATGATTTGAGAAAATTGTTTCCTTGTGAGATTTCTCGTCTTGGAATTTATTAGTTGAAACATGACTACTTTCGTAGTTTTGGTTGAAAATTGTTGTAGAACCATACCGAGAGATCCAAGGCATTGGTACTACAGGCGATGATGATAAAACTATGGAGTGAACATAGTTATTTAGGGTTTTAATCAACATGCATAATTGTGTTGGATACTGATCCACTATTGGCACCAATTGTAGATTCGTGCTTTGAACCTTCATGAGAGGTTGTGAGATTTCTTCTTCATTGGTGGTGTTTGTGGAATCAAAAAATGTTTAAGGAGCAACCATTTGTGTGACTGCAAGGATTGTTGAAGATGATGAACTTTTGAAGAATTTTGGGAAATTTGATATGAGAGCTTAAAGTTTTAGAATGATACCACCGGTTTCCTTATATAATCTACGGTATTTTTGAATTTGAACTGGTTACCAATAATACACTGCCACATATTGTGTTGGTTACTTAACCTGCCCCGTAAAAGTCTCCACGTCTTAAAAGTTGATCATCACTTTTTCCTTGAATCTCGTGAAATACTGAACCGTCACTTCAAATATTTTCTTGTTCCCAACCAGATAAGAGTCGCCACATATTTTGTACTGTGAGCAACGACATTCTATTGATTTGATGCCAAGAGAACATCATTCCTTCGCATTGAGGGTTGGCTCATTCACTTTTGGGATATGAAAGTGAAATCATGTGTCAGACTTTGTGAAATCTAGGTTTCGAGTTGGCATTACCCAAAACATCAAGGACTCCAGTGCAATAGTGTGCCAAAGAATGAGTGAGAATCAATAAAAAAATGTGGTTTTGTGATATCAAATTACATTTGATACGAAAGTAGTTGGATCTTGGGCCAAGATCTCTTAATTTGACCTCAAGAGAGATGATGAACTACTTGTGTGGTTTCCCATGAAATACAATCGAATACTCATTGATAAGCATCGAAGGGCTTCTTTTTCATTGATTTTGAAAGGTGGGCTCAAATTTTCCAATACCACAACTTAATGTATGTGTAAGCTAAATTGAACAAAATTACTTGGATGATCAGTGTAGTCAAGAGGAAGTATGGTTGGATATGATTTGTAGTAAAAGGAAATTAAAAAGATATTCAGACTGATATCACATTCTAAGAAAAAATATGTACTGGAACTTGTTGGGAAAAAAATGTCTTGGTTGTACGTCATTTTGTTAAGATCACAAAAATTGAATGGAATATGATTTTGAATATCGAAAGGAAGTGAAACAAGTGTTTCGTTATAATCTTGAAAAAAAATGTTCACCATTGATTGCTCGATTAGTTCGGGTTTCTGGTTTTCACCATCATCATGGATGAATGACGTAGGATCATAAACACAGAGTGTTTCAATATCTACATTGTCGTAAGTTTCGACCAGAGATGTTGAGGTTATGCAGTGAAGTGTGTGATCATGAAAGAAATTTTGGTTAAAAAGATTATGTGTTAGAACTCATTGTACCCCTCCGAAATATATGGACATTGCTGAAATCTATTTACTCAATATGAGAAGTGAAAGGTAGGTCTTTTACTAATGTGAATATAGCCTAATTGGGAAGGAACGTTTGTAGTGAAAGTTTCGTTAAGGCTTTGAACACATAAAGTCTATGAGGCTTGAGGTCAACATACAATAGCATGCTTCTAGGGATGCATAACTAGTACATTAGTTCGAATTAATACCTGTCCCTTAGATGGATGATATCATTGAACATGCACCTCACCAGTACGTTGTTACAATGAGACACAAATTGTTAATCGAAAAATATGAAATAAAAATAAGAAAATCTTTTTGAGTTTTTGTTTTGGAAAATCAAATAACAAAAATAAAAAAAAATCTTATTGAATTTTTTGTTATTGAAAATCAAATACAAAATAAGAAAATCTTTTTGGATTTTTGATATTTGAAACATAAGAAACAAAAAAAAAACATGTAAAATTTTACCAAGTGATGTTTGACCTATTAAGTAGCAACCCCCAATGATGTTTCTCATCGAAAAACCCAGAAAGCGAATTCAGTTCATAACGGTTCAAAGGAAAGTCGAAAGCGAACGCATGCGAACATTGAACTGAAACAGTAACCTCTGAGTAATTTACTAAAATATAAATCGAATAGACACCTTTTCGAACAAGAACTTGGAATAGAATTTGCTTTGATCATACCCAGTCCATTTAAAATCCTTATGAATAACTTCTCATCTAAATATTTTGTAAGAATATATGCAAGTTGATCCATTGTTTTCATAAAATGCACCTCAATGTTCCCGTCTTTTACATTGTCTTTTATGAAGTGATACCAAAGAGCAATGTGTTTGGTTTTTGAATGTTAGACTGGATTATGATAGATATGAATGGCACTTTGTGAGTCACAATACAATGGAATATTCTTCATATTGATTGCATAATCATATAGTTGACTTTGTTTCCAAATAACACATTATGTGTATGTTACAGTAGCCGCATATTTTGCTTCTACAGTCAAAATGGAAAAATACATTTGTTTCTTCGATTACTAGCTCACAAGCTTCCCATTTAATAATTAACATCCGCATGTTGTGCTCTTTCAATCAAGTTG